ACTATGGGGGATTTGCCACGACAGCAACCGTGTGGCAGTTTGCTTTGGGGAGGAGAGGAAGGGCACAGATGTGCTGCATGGAGAATAACCCCCCAATGCATTAATGAACACAGCTGAGCACCAAAGCCACTCTGGCATCTCCAGTTCTCTTGAGAACACTCCAGCTTTACTCAAGCACAAGGGTTTTATCCTGAGCAGGATTCTGACCTCAGGGAGAAAAAGGATGCGTGTAGCCTTTGCACTTTGGCAGCTCCCATCTTTGCTGGGTGGTTCCAAGTCTGGTCCAACATGGAACAAAACACAGTATTTCTGATTTAAAAAAAAAAAAAAAAAATACACTCATGGCACTGCATCAGGTGGGTTCCTAAAGCTTCTCAAGGGCAAATGAAAAGGCTGATGGCTCCCTCTTGGGGAGCAGCTGCTCTAGCTTCAGTTCACTGTCAGTACAGGCAGCCTGACCAGGGAAGAGGATGTGGTGGTGGCAGAAGCCCCTGAGCCTCAGGCCACGTAGCTCTGCTCGGTCGCTCTATTGCACTCCAAAAGTAGCACCCGGGAGGACCAACTCTGGTTTGCAGCTTGACCCGGCCCCCTTCCAAAGGGTCCTTTGCATACAGGTTAAACACAGGATACCAACAACTATGGCAAAGAGATAATACTTAACTTGGGTCAATTAAAAAAAATAGACTATTCATATCCAGGCATAAAATCCTGGGACAAAAGGATGGTAGCCTTAAACTATTCAAGTCTAAGAACAAGAGGTAGAGATACCTACGTACTTCATGGTGAAGGAGTTACAGCCTTCTTTGTCTTACAATCTCATGAATTTCACTTCAGTTCACACTATAAAACCAAAGGTTCGATCTTCAATAGACCAGAGAGAAAATGTTAACACTGGTGGGTTTGTTTGCACACAATAAAATTTAAGTAGACACTTTAATACTTATTTGAAAAAATATGTTTTTCTCCACATTGAAGCACTACTCTGAAGAATTTTGAGTTTCAGGTTAAGCATCTTCCTTTTTAATATGAAAGGCTAAATCCACATGCACACACTTTGAGCAGAGTGGGCTCAAGGGAAGAACTGGGTGCCCAATTTACTGAGGACCTTCTAAAAAAGCAACACACTGCAGAATGCAAGGCTGCAAGACCCAGAAACTCACAATGACTTATTATTTACCAAATAATGGGAATGATGTAACCTCAGCCAACAAACTGTATCACAACTGAGGTGGCTATTAACTACATGGTGTTTCTTTAACTTTACTGGGCTTTTTTGGAAACAAGGCTCATGTTGACAGTGTCACAAAAAGTCTAAGGTCACTGGTCAGGGCACAGGCCTGGGAACCACAGGTGACAGGCTACTCCTGGGTCAATGGGTTCTTCAGGCTCTGATGGACACACAGAGTGAAATAAAAGTCACCCAGCAGAGCTGCTGCTGCCCCCAGCACTGTCCACAGGAGGAGGGGCTGCACCCTCTGCCACCCACCCGAGCCACTCTGTCCTCAGCAGAGCAGCCCGAGCTCATTTCATGCTCTGAACTGGACTTGGCAGAGAACTGGCCTGGTTCAAACTGTACCAGGAGATCTCTCAGGCCAGCAGCTCTCACAGTCCCAGCTGCTCCTGTGCCACCTGCCAGACCTGTGGTCATTTTCCTGTGGTCCTTTCACTAGGATTGCACAGTACTAAAAAACTGTAATTCTCCATGTAGAATAGCACCAGCAGCAAATAAACTCAGGATTTGGTGTTCAATTCCAACTCATTGCCTCAGTTATGTTTTATGGCCAGCTATGGGCAGGATCTTTCAAATCCTTACTTGAATCAATAGATAGTCTATGACCTCAGAAATGCACCCAGACAAGTAAAAATTAGCACAATTAAGCCTCCAATTGAACTGGAAGCCAAAATTTAAAGGTGTTGCAAGATATAATATGGTGTAGGTGGTCAGTGTTTTATTACTAGGGGCTAAAGTTTACAGGAGTTGTATTCTTTGCATATAAGAGAAGGCAGTAAAATGCCACAGAACTGTGGATATCAGACCCATTTTCCAGTATATTACTCCAACTATTGATATAGTTATCTATAGTTATTTATCCCAAGTTTCAGCAGATTCACTACATGCATAAAGTTTCCTAATGCATAATCTAATTTTTAAAAAATTAAACAGTTGCAATGGTTTCAAGGATTTCATCAGCATCACTGCTCACTTCCTGTGCCCTACACAATGAAGAATTACATAAAAATGAAGAGTGAATGTATTTGGCCTGTTCCACAGATATTCACAGTTTAACCATTAAACAAGCACATATTCAGAGGCTCCAATATCATTAAAGACTTCTCAGAGACACACACAAACCCTACTCCCTCACCCCAACATTACACAGTCTGGGCAGTCTCATCTGGGATCACAAAACCACCAGGCAATCCAAGAGAAAGTCTGGCAGCCCCACTCACTGCCAGCACTGCCACAGAGCTCCTGCTTCAGGAGTTTAAAACTGACACAGGTCTGGTTTGCATCTGTAAATTGTAATTACAGGACTAAAATTAGGCTAAAGATAAGTGATACTTTGCTAGATGGATCATCTGGCTATTTTTGCAAGTCCCCTGCCCAGTGGGTGGAGTTGCTCCTGCCTGGCTGGAAGCAGCAGAACAGGAGCAGGGCTGTCCCCCACGCTGAACACGTGGGTAATGAATGCTATGTACTTTCCCCAACAGGAAACCAGATTTTCCCTTCCTGTGTGTTCACCTCTGCCTTTAAAAAGCAGCTGTATTGCCTCTGACACATTAAAATGGCTGAGCCTGATGCACTACAGATTGATTTCCTTACTGCTGTCCACATTCCAACCACAAGATAAACACCTTTAAAGAGCTCTATTCCTCACCCTCTGGGGCTGCTGCATGCTGGGGTGTAAATCAGAAGCTGCCATCTGGTGAGCTACCCATATGAATAGTTACTCTTCACACTCTGGACATTTTAAATTTCGTTTAGGGGGAAAAAAATAAGTGATGAACAAAGCATTTAATAGCTGAATGAATGAAGAGCCTCAAACTGATAAATACAGTCTTCATTTACTATCAAATCAGTCTCCATTTGGAACTTTTCCTAACAAAGCAGCCTCTGTTGGGGAATTTATTTTAGTCTTTTAAAAATAACAGCACCAGCAAAAGTCTCACCATAAATTCAACTGTTCCAGCAAGAGTGCTTTGGCCTGCTTTGCTCACCAAATCAGAATAAGGTTTTGCTGCCACTTTTGTGCCACAGAAAGTTAGAAGAAGTAAGGACAAAGCTTTGGGTGTATTTACCCATAAAACAGCAACTTTAGGGCTCCCCTGCAAAGGGGAGACTCAGCTGCATATAAAACAACCACATTTGTTTTCCACAACTTGTCTCCCAACAAGAGCAGCATGGACCAAACTCTCCTTTTATTAGATGAAAGAGATGCTATCTGTGGCTTGTGGGTTTGTTTTTAAACAGTTTGCATTACCCACATTTTGTTAGTGATTTATGACCTCCAAGCCAAGCTACTGCAGGGCTGCACACCAGCAAAGCCAGCCCCAGAATTTGGGTAGATCCTACTCCTCTCTCTGCTATCCCCTGCGGGGCACAACAGATGTGCAAAGCATGACACCCTGGACCTGGTGACAAGCACACCACTTAAAACCTGTTTCCCTTTAGTTTTAAAACCCTTATATCACAAAAGCCATTAGATGCTATGGATGACTGTCCAGGCTTCTTGTTTTGTTTTGTTTTTTTCAGTTGAATTTGATTTATGATCCTGAAATACAGCTCTGAAAAGAAAAGGTGTGTAACAGAAGTGTATCAAATTCATTAAACCAGCACTTAGCTATACAGAAAGCCTTGGCAATCAAACCTTTTACCAAAAGGTGTAAAAAAGTTGACATACTAAAATTAAAAAAGGTAGCATCAATAACCAAAAATGTTTCAACCAGTGTTCATAAAACTCCCTTTAAGTCACAACAATTTCAACAGGCAAATAGTCCCAATACAGGCATTGTAAAATAATAAATTGACTCCTATCCAAATATTATCAAATCAGTCTAAAAATGACTCATCTACACTGCTGTCATTAAGAACACATTAAGAATTCACTTTGTCATCAGATGCCGATATTGTTGCTCCAGAAAGTGTGGAGTATTAACTGCAATTTAGCAATTAAACATATGCTTTAAAAAATTGGTTTGTCAATATTAATGCAAAAGATAGTTCCTTACATAGAAGTACTGTGCTTGCCAGACAAGTAAGGTAATACTTTAGGTATAAATCAAACAAATTAAAGCAGAATTATACCACAGTTTTCCTTGAAGACTTAGGATTTGTGTGTTGCTTCTCTCAATGTTTAGCAAACTTAAGAAGCAGAACCTTTGGTTCTTTTAGTCAAGTAAAAATATTCTCATGTAACCACAAAAATACAACTTCCAGAGAAAATGGAAGTCCATCAACAAGTCCACTTTCAATAAAACTGAGGTAGTACTGCTCTTTTATTACATGAATGTGTAAAGAGATTTAGATATAAATCGTCATCTACCACTCAGTTGACTGACAGGTACAGTAATTTTATAAAAACAATCCCAACATTTAGTTTGAATGTCCAAAAAAGGAATGATCTGGACTCATTCACTAGGAGTTAGCTCAAAGTGGGAATTAGCCATATTACAAAAAGCTGTTGCTTATGTTGGTTTTTAGAGCCTTATTACCCAGGATTAATGCATTCATAGTTAACACTGCTGTTCATCTCGGTATAAAACCTTAAAATTATTACAGCCTAAAATTTCAACAATGTAAACAGCACTACACACAGTACAAACCTGCCCTGACAGATGTAGTATGAAAAACTTAATCTGGCACTGTATAATTTAGCAATGTTAATTTAACCTAACTAAAAAGATCTACATTGTGCAAGAAGTATCAGACTTAATTAAACTAATCTAAAAACTTAAAAAAAAAAAAAAAACAAAAAACAAAACAAAACAAAACAAAAAAAGCTTAACTTGTAGCCAGGGTCAAATATTTCAGGGCAAAAGTAAAAGGAATAACCAAAATTAAGAAAGTGCCTAAAACATGATACAGCATTTTAGAGCCCTTTCAAAGACAAGGCAGAAAAAGGTGTAAAGTAGAAAAATCTGGAGCCTCGGTAATTTCCAGAAACATCCAGAGTTTACATTTTGTGAAGGGCAACAAGTTGCTTTTGTCACTGCTGCTTTGCCACCGCTAAGTCTGTTCGTCCGCACACAGGCCCTCTGTGTCCGGAGACAGAACACATTTGGTTTCCTCTTCCTTTTTCCTTCGCTCCATTTCCCACTCCACAAAGGTATCGAAGAGACTCGGCCAGGCCTCGTCCTCGCTGTAGTTGCTAAGGTCCGGTCCAATCACCTGAGTAAAATTTAGAAACATGTTCCACGTGTCCCGGGAGATTCCCTTGATTCCTGAGGGGTTCTTGATTAGGAAGTGTAACCACTGGTCCAAAATAGGGGGCTTGTTTTGGGTGAAGACTAATTTCCAAAGGGCAATGGCTATTTCCCGATGTAGCGACCTCTGTCCTTCTTCAGAGTCCAGGCCAAACTGGAAGGTGAAACGATAGAGATCCTTGAATTTATCCTCCTGCTTGGCTTCATTAAGGAGGCTGGGGAACCTTGCACAAATGCCATCAATGCTGTCTGCATTTATGGCTTTGCAGCCTTCAAAAAACTCCTTCCTGTTAAGCAAGAGTAGAAAAATTAGAGTGAGCCCTTCCCACTGACCTCACGAACACGTCCCGTCTCCGTTCAGCTACACTGAATCAAAGAGAGTCATCTGGACAAGACAAGGTGTACCCTCAGCCCCTGTGGCACACAGATTTTAGCAACAAAAGCCACTGGAAAGACAGACAGTTCCAAGGCATTCCTTAAGGCCTGGGGAACCACACACAACGCCCAGGTTTGCTGGGGCACTGTTAACATTTGAAAGTTTCTGCTCTCAGGCTTTTCTGGACACTTCCACATCCTGGAATGCCCTTCACATTAAAAAGTGAATCTAATTTGCCACAGAAGAAATTCTAAATGTTTGAAACCAACACATTTACCCCAACTTGATTCAATACTGCTGATGTCTAAATGCCCATGCTCTGAGCAAGCTGTGTGCAAGGGACAGAGCAGTTCACTTCTACTTTTGCTGTGGTTTTTGGTTGCTCTTTCAGCCTGCTAAACCAAAGAGGAGCCACTGGTTCAGTCAGCAAGGCATCCACTGACAGCATGGAAGGAAGCACAGCCTCACAGGGGCTACAGCACAATGTATGGACACTGTTCGAAGCACCAGCTCTGTACTAGTGGCCAAGTGGGACACGTTTAGCTCCAGTTTCTCTGATGCTTGTGAGCAGTGCTGCAACCAGCCAGGAGAGCCAGCAGGCTGACACAGGACAGGCTGGAGGGAACAGAGATGGAGCAGCACTCAGGAGAACAGACCACAGTGCTTTCCGTGATGGAAGAATCCATCAGCACCTGTACCATGGAGCATGTCCTTCAACAAATATAACCTTCAACAAATAGAACATGTGTCCTCTCCAAGGAAATTAAAACCATGTTAATAATACTCATGGTAGTTGTGCAGAATCACAGACACTGCTTACAACTCCTTTACCATCTTAGCAAATACCTGCATCATCAGCCTCCAGTAAATCCACATTTGCATTCCAGAGTAACTCATCCCTTTGACACACACCCTCAGCCACAAAGACTCTGAAGATGCTGTCCAGTGCACAGCAGAGGCTTGGGTCAAGGCTCTGAACACCAAAGCAATACGCTCAGTAAAAATAAGCAGCATGACTCAAACCAATCTAGACAGAAAAAAAAATAAAAAATTCCTTCTCTCCCACCAGTCCTTGTAGGCAGTTTTCCCTTGCTCTTACCTGGACATTGCTAATCAAGCTAGGGGACTGTGCTGCAGTTTGGGTTTGCCTAAACTGCCTAAACATTGCTTAGTGGGGGGAGTTTTAGCCATTCCATTGTTTCCTGTAGCATGACACATGCTGTCAGCTGGCTAACTGAGCCCCTTGTCCAGAAGGGCACAAAGCACTTTGAACAGCAATCATTTGTCAGATAGTATGAAACAGCTACAAGTGTCAAAACCCTCACATTGCCTTCCCTCTCTATGCTTTAACAAGATTACTCTTGGAAAAAGACATTAAGTGTTACACTGGTTGGACAGGAATAATTCTGTCATTCTTTTACAGACTGTTAACAGAGTTAGTAGCAATTACTAAAGAATCTCACATTACTTTAAAGGAAAAATTAATTTCAGTGGCCAGTCTCATCACAAAGATAATGCTTGATACAGTAAATTGCTTCTGGTAAATCAAGAATAAATTAAGGTCTACAGAATCTCACTACACTGTTCATCACTAGCAGCATAATGACCAAAACCACATCTTCTAAAATCCAGTGTGAGGGGAAGGGGAAAAGAAGACCAAAGCTTACCTTCTACAGTGGCAGGAATTAATTTGATCAAAATGCAAGTGTTAGAAGAAATAAGTAAATGAAGCTAATGAGGCTGTCTCTCCAACATACTGCTGACAGGATATACTTTAACATATGAAAATAATTACAAGTTCTACAAGAACTAACCTTGTAAATTTGCACATGGTAGCAGCCTGAAATTTCCAAGCCAAAACTAGTACTTTAAATTCAGTGGGATCAACACAGAGGTCATTGCAAAATCGTTCCATTCCTTCTTCCAGTATGGCATCTTCCCGCTCGTCCTTATACCTCCTGAATAACTCCCCAATCCTTTGAAGAGAAGATTCCTCTGCACTGCAAACAGAGTCTTTCTTTGTATCTCCAGAAAACGTCGGAGGCTGACTGGACTCTACAGCAGCGTCTGTTTTCTTTGTCCCGTTCACAAGAATGTCTCCTGCAGCCTTCCCACAAGCTGAGCCATGGTCGTCTTTGTGGACTGCACTTCTCTTGCTGTGGGACTTGCTGCCAGATTCTCTCTCCCCATTTTTGCTGCCAAGGGTAGAAGAAGGGTTCTTGCACTTGGTGACACACTGGCCCATGATGTTGCAAGCCCAGCTCCTAGCGTGGTCCCCCTGCCCTTGGACACCCTCGCAGCTGCTCTTCAACACATCTCACCATGCCATTAGCAGCACTCAGCTAACCTGAAAAACAGTTTCAGAGTCAAACTGCTGTCTCTCTATAAAGAACAGCTGAAGTATTAAAATGTGGGATAACACTTGCCATTAAGAGACCGACTTCAGGATATTTAAGCTTTGCATACTGAAAAGGAGCAGTGTACACAAGGCTGGAATATGCCATAAATTTCAGGCAATTTCGGGCTGTTTTACCTAGAAATCAATGCAGCTCACTCAGTGGCTACACTATACTAACGGGTCCTAATAAAGGAAATTCCTAAAATTCTTACTGCAGCATAGGTTACAAAGAGGTTGATTCATGTACAGTCTTCATCACAACAGACTACTCTAACCCAGAAATACTTTAAAGGAAATGGTTTTTAAAAGTATACCCACATTTTGTATATAGAATATAAAACACTGAAACAAAGCAGGGAAGGGAGGACAAGGACACTGTTGAGATCACCTGGCAGAGACTTAAGCATTGGCTCTAGACTGCACCCCCAGCAAATCAGCAAAAGGGACTTCTCATGGAAGGGGGGAGGAAAGGAGCTGGCTGTTGGCTGGTTTTGGGGAGGAGGAGAGAGGAAGTTGTGTGTTTGTTTTTAAACAGAGTTTGGAATCTAGGTTTTGTACTTAAAACATACACAGAGTGTGTCTGCAGAAAGGAGGCAACACTTCTTACGCAAGAGGGTATTCAGAAATTGTTCATTGTTTCAAGTGGGCTCCTCCACTCAGGTAAGGAGCCAGACAGGGGAGGGAGCCTTCTTAATGAAACTTCTTCAGACTGACACACATGCAGATAAGAAGTAGTAATTCCAGTTCAGAGGAGGTTTTTTTTAACAAAAATTAAAATGCCAAAATGATTTCATCATACTCTCTTTTTATAAATCACAAAGCCCTGCATATTTGGAAAAAAATATTTTGCCCAGAGAAAAGGGTTCTCCAATTTTCCCTGTTAAAACCAATCTAACACTGACACTGCCCTATCAGCAAGCAACCACACCAAGGACAGTCTGTTTCTCAGAAATGTCAGCTCCAAGAAAGCAATTGCTTATCATAGTCCTCCTTTACCCACTAATTTGCATTTCACCTCTGCTGTCAGCTAGGCAAAAGCTTCAAACATAAAAATTGGGTTGGCTTTGACTTTGTGTACACCTTCCAGTTTAGAATTAAAACAAGAAAGAGGAGAGAGAAAAATTTTAAAATGAAGAAATATAATAGCTGTCATGTAAGTTTTACTGTATTCTTTCTTGGGCAAAGCTTTATTGAGACTGAAGTCCTCTTTAAAGCTGTAAATCAACAGCAGCAACAAGTACAGATGAATTCTCAGATATTAGGATTACAAAAATAAATCTCTCAGCTATACCTGTTTTGTCAAAACAGCACGTGTGCAGCTTCATGAGCAAAAAATTTTGCCAGTGGAACTACAACAGTCAAGGTGCTGGTTTTGACTACCTGGCTTCCCTTTCCCTCTCCAGTCCCTTTTCTTAAGCACATAACTAGCAAATACCTATTTTTTTTTTAAGCAAAGGATGAAAGGTACTATATATTCTTTCATCTCAATGTTTTAAAGATTAACTTAGCAGCATCATTTTTATAGGCAAGCAAAATTTGATTTAAAGTATTCAAGAAATTTGCAATAATTTGTATTTGAAAGGATTTATAAAAATATGCATGTCAATATAAATGATCCATAAGACAATTTCACTGGTCCTTAGTATTTCACAGCTCTGTGAGCTGCAAAGCACAGCCTGGCACAGATTTCTGTGCTGCCAGGTGCCTGAGCAACATCATCCTCTCCAGTCTACAACAGTCATTATTTCATTACACCAAAACAAACAGGATATTAGTAGGCAGTAGAAAAACTGCTTAGTGATTAACTCCCACATACCAGCTTTCCCCTCCCAGTCTTTAAATTCATCCGAATTCAAATGCTCAATCTACACTAATTCTTGTTCTTCCATCAGTTTCTCAGAGGCAGCTAGCACCACACTGGACAAATTTTTCTTTAGAGAGAAACATGCAGCTAAAAGAACAGAATAAAAAATCCTGAGTTCAGACTAGCATTAGAGTTTAAAGCAGAGTTTAGGTAGTATAGAAAACTTTCTGCTCAAAGAGGTAACAGCAGTTATTAGCTATTGGTGATTTGGAGCAGCTTTGCCCTATGGGGAAAGGTTAAGGAACAGCTGCCTATTAGTGAACAGTACTTTCCTCTAAAGTAGTCAAATCACACACATTGTAATTGACAGATTAATCCAATTCACTTGAGGAATCTCAATTTGAATTTTTTAAAGGCAGTTTGCAAGACTGACATACTGTGTCCATAATTTTCCTAAAAAAAGTGATTAATGCTGTCATGCTTCCTAAGCAACAGCTTGTATTAATGATGATAACAATCTAATGTTCAGGTTTCCAAAGTTACATCACCGGTGTGATGAAACTGATGGGCTTTAAAGTCATTTGCTGTCACAAAAAGAGCAGTACGATTCACAGAGGGAAGATCTGCCAGAATTATTAGACACCTGTATGTAAGGAGGTGTCCCATGGCAGTTTCCAAAAACAACAATCCCAGTAGCATTAACCCCTAGAGGGTAAGTTATCCTCCTCCCTCACATTGTACCCCTCTAACAAAAATATCTTCTGTACTCCTACTTGCCTTACAAAGAGCTGAATGCTGCTCCTGAACAGCTACTGCATGGGCACTGCTAGCTCTTCCCTTCCTCTTCACTGCTCTTCCCTGCAGTAACAGAGTTCTTCTTCCTCCTCCCCACCAAGGAAGTTTTCAGAGCACAGTCCTACTCCTTATGAACAAACTAGAAGATACTGATGTACAGTTGCTGTAATTCCTCACTTTTCTTCTACAAGAAACTTGATGCCATGTGCCAGATACTTAGAAGCATTCTACCCCAAAAATAGCAATACCAGCTTGGGGAAAAAAAAAAAAATCCAGACTGCATCCGCTGGCAGCTTGTGGATGTATCTGGTTTTGTAAGAGAAAAGTCTTTTGGCAGTCCATCAGTTACCCTTTTGTAAACTGCCTTCGTGAGCTGGATCCACTTCACTAACTAGTCACCTCCGCTTCCTACATGACTCAGGTTTCAAGGCATGAAAGGAACAAGAGCCGTGGAAGGAGACAGAATCAAGTGGGAGAAGCCGGCCCTTTTGTTCTGGAAGGCTGGAGAGAAGATCTAATTGCAGCATCAGGAGCTGCAGTGAAGCCAGAGCTCAAGGAGTGGGAGAGAGCACCCTCAGGAAGGTGAACAGAGCTGTGTGTTCATCTGTAGAGCAAAGCGACTGTCACGCAGCACAAGGACCTGCAGAGAGATTTCTCCCAGCTGGATCAGGAACTACAAGTTCTTGTGTACCCAAAGGTTAGACTGGATTGCTGGCAACGCATCAATTCCCAAAAGCATCAGTTCCCAAGAGCAAAATCACTAAGAAGCTTGTACAGCATAAAAGCAAGACATAAAAGACAGTAGTGACCACTGCTTTTGCCATTCTACTAAAAAGGATCAAAATTCAGGGCTAAGGTTGGAATGTGCTCAGTGCTACAGGATGCAGCGCTCCCAAAGAAGTCTATTACTCAGAAAAGCATTGAGCAATGATCTCCAGTACATATGAATCACCAAGATGCCCATGAGGCCATTTTCCTCTTTCAAAGCAGAGCTCCACAGTGACCTTCTCTGCACCTTTCTAGAAAGGAGTCAGCAGCTGGTAGCACAGGAAGATGAGTGCTGAATACAGCCACCTAAAGCAAAGTCACCCTCTAAGAACAAAGGATGTGCAGAGCCATATGGCCCCACACATTAAATGAAAACCTAGAGAAGATTACAAAGGCCTTGGCTAATGCTTGGTGGGGCTTTTTTACTTGGTAAGGGTTTTGTGTGGGACCTTTTTCTAAGTGCTGTAAGGAATTTGTAACATTTTTCCTCCATTTTCAAGTGGACAAATCACACATAACCTAGAACTTGAAGGGAGCAAAACAAAGTGACTCAGTAATAACTCTCAATCATACAAGCACACCATGGCACAATTGAAAACAGCAGTAAGGAAATGTGGGGGGGAGCTGGCAGGAGGAGAGAAGATGCAAAGGAGATATTTAAGTAACCCAGTATTTTTCTATAATGACTGATGTTGTTGTAGTAATAGAAATTATTGGATATGTCCAGAGAATAACAAGCAAAACAAGCATTATGCTGCTTAATAAAGTGTTGCATCAGAAGGTATTTGTAATGAGTTTCAAAACACAAAGTATCAAGAGAGTAGAGGAAAAAGCGTTCCATATATTCAAGGAGACCTCAAAGACAAATTTAGGAAATCTCATAACAAAAGGGGAGACAGCTCAGCAAACCATTAAATCCCTTTCCAAGTAGCATTTAACTAGCTAAGGCAAAGACAACATAACTAGAGCTTAACTAAGCCTCAACCCAGCCTCAGCTTTTCACAAACACTAGAGCATAGTCTTAAGAATTTTACAGAATTCCACTATGCATTATTTACCTTTTAATGGATAGGACACATGACTTTAAAGAGAGCTGAGAGTAGGGAATAGTATCATGGATGCCCTGTTGGTTTCCAACCCTGAACAGATGCACAGAGCTCCCCAGTGGGGAGGCAGGAGAGGATCACTGCCACTGCTGAAGCAGAGGCAATTGCTGCTCTAACAACGGTGCTGGACAAGTGGTCTTGTAAGCAAACATCTAATACTTACACAGTTTCAGCTACACAGGGAATCATTCCACTAGCTTCACAGCGTCCTGCAGGCTCCCTGGGTTCTACATAGAATGCTGGAAGACAAAAGGCCACACAAATCTTTACATTTAGAAAGGCTATGAAAACCATGAAATGCACCAAATTGCCGAGAGACAACTGTGTATTTAATAAAACTCTTCAGAGCCAAACTGCATTTACTCAGAGTCATTTTATGAAAAACTACTTCACTTTTTTGACTTATAAAGTAGCATTAACACCATTAACTCTGCATTGTCATATAAACCATAGAACAGGTACTGAAAACAACAGACAAATTCAAATGTTTGTTTGGAGTAAATACACACTTCCGGATACTTTCATGGCTTTCAGCATGGGAGAATTAATTCCTCATTTTATGCACTCAAAGCAAAGCAGAGGACATGCTATCACTGTCACTGTGTGTTAGCTGAGCACTGTTTAATCTGTGAATGCCAGACAGCTGCTACCTAGCAAAGCATAATTTGGGTCTAGAGTAATTCTCTTTTTTCATTCTCTAGCACATTCTTTTCCATGTTTGTTTTCCCATGTTCAGCCGAGCTGGCTCCACTTTGCTACTCTTTAAATTGGCAGCTCTGCTGTATAACTAGAAACCTCTGAAGAGGACAGACAAAGGTATGTCTGGTTTGTGTAGCAAGAGCTGCAACTGCAGCCCCTAGTCAACACCTCTGTACCTGACCTAGTAGAAAAACACAACAAACAAGAAATCTCTGGCAAAGCTCCCCTGCTCTACCACACTAACATAAAGACTAAAACATCTCCGTTTTACAGCTCTTAGTACATCTAGGGAGCAGACAGGTGATCAAAAGCTGCCTTGCTGCATACTTACCTTTTACATGAGATTTACTTCCTAGGAAACAAGTAGGAACATTAGCTTGTTCAGAGCTTCCTTCAGCAGAAAGAGGAGGAGGAATATAGAAAGACAACCATGAAACAACATCTTGTCACACATGCCAATCTCCACGAGTTTTCCCCAAACCTGAAGCCTATATGTGGATTAGGAAAATTTGACTGACACATAAAACCTAGTTCAGACCAAAGCTGTTGATAGAGCTTGAAAGCCCCAAACATTTCAGAATGTTTGGAGTGTCTCACTCATATACACACACGGAGCAAAAATGTATCTCCACCAAATCATTTTTAGGCATTTACTGTTGAAATGGAGACCAAAAAGTCTACTTCACACTGTGTTTGTATACTCTGCTCCCAAACCTCATCTTCCACACAACCAACCACCCTTTTTCCCTCCTCCATGGCCTCACAGTTCTTTTAGCAGACACTCCAGTGGATGCAAAGCCACAAGGCAGCTTAATGTGCAGGGGAGCAGAGGAGTGTCTGCCTCTCTCACAGTGGAAGTACTAGCTTGAATTTCTTCCTATTTGACCATAGCATGCCATGAATTTCAAGAATTTAAGAAAATGCAACATCTGGCACATCTATGTTAATTTCTTTTGGCCTCCTGCATCTAAGTACTTCCTTTTATAAATCACCACAGAGGAAAACAGGGTGCTATGCAGCCTCATTCCCCAGGAACCTGTTTAAACATCTCACAGTTCACATTTTGAAAAATCATTGTCATGGCAACTTTTTGCAATGAACTACTTTTCAAACACATTTTTATTTCTTTGAAAGAGATCTATGATCCCATGATCCACCAAATCAACATTTCTAGTCGACATACTGCACATACTGGAAGCAAACACTTATTTCAAGTTCAAAAGAAGCAGAATCTGATGGAGATCAGCCCTTCCTAGCAAAAGCCAAATTTATTCATGTTGTTTGAAGAAATTTCCATGTTTCCTGACCTATACACACATGCACACTGACTGGAGCCAGAAATTTTAGCATGTTAGAACCTTCTGCTACAATTCTTCCCCTTTCTTTATATTTCTATTCTTCTGAGTTGTCCATTTAATCTTTTCAGATTTTTCAATGTAGTAGCACGTGTAAACTTTGACAACACAATCATGGGATATGGAACAAAAAGTTAGCATGAGTTAGCAGTTAAAAGATCAAGCTCTTCAAGGCTGTATTTAAAGGCTGTCATAGCACAGCAATGCACTGACTTCATCCTAACTCATGCACAGTGAGTGCAGCGGGGGTGGAGAAGCATCAGCACATTGGTAGCACAGGTTTTGGTTCAGTCCCTGGGCCAGAGTTGCAAGGTGTAGCTGCAGGCTGTGGTCACCAGCACCCCTCTCGCTGCGCTGCTGTGGAGAGCAGCATCACAGCACAGTAACTCAGACAACAGCCTGCACTGCTCATTAGCAACCCCTGAGAAACCCACGGGGAGGTAAGTAAGTAAACAGTGTGGACCCTTGGGATGATGGAGGCCTTTGTTTTGCTCATCTGGCTCTTTTCATACCTGTGTCTAAGCCCCTGGGACTTGGCTCTCCTAAGCACTGGGCAGAAGGATCAGTGCAGGCCCTCCACACCCCCAGCAGCTTTCCCAGAGGTAAAAGCAGGCAGCCTTCTCACCAAAAGCAACTTTCTTTGCTCCCCTGTGGGGAATCAGTGAAGAAACAATGGTATTGTTTCCCTCTTCAGCAGGCAGAAATTGAAAGGATCAGCTCTATGTGGAAGATTTCACTGAGCAGTACAGAGTTCTACACCACAACTCCAAGCACCTGGAGCACAAGTGTTACAGCACAGACCAAACTTGAGTCAAAGCTGTCATGTTACAGGAACTGCTTATTTCAAGTCAGAACCTGCAATGACACTTCCTCAGCAGAAGCCCTCTGAGTGCAGCACAATGGCACATTATGGGCTCTCATGAGCCCAGAACACACCTCACCACATCCCCAACCAAGCGCTGCACTAGCACCTGTGTCACGCTGATCTGCTCCACACCACTGCTGCACAAATACTTTTATGCAAAGTTACTCAAGAGGAAGTCTAAAAGCAGGAAGGTCCTGCTGCAATGAGTTAAAATGAATTATTAGTTTGTGAGGCTTCCTGCAGTTGAAGAACATTTCAATGAATTACAGACAGTAATGGTTTTGTGGGCAGATACATGAGAACTTGACCAGTCTGTTCCAAAACAAGATAACAGAACTATTTCTGATTAAACTCAATTTGAGCTTTGGAAACAAAACAGCTTTAGAAATGTGAGCAAACTGGGTAAAATTTGTCTCTACAGAACATGCCTGCATAGAGCAGAAGCTAGTAATACAGACACCTGGAAAGGCACCATGCAGAGTTCCGGCTGCCACTTGGCACAAGGCTACATGGCAGTCTGGGGAAAACCAAGCCAGGCAGCAGCTATGTTAGAAGCCTGAATACTTTCTCAAATGAGAAGTGGACTTCTCTGAGAAAAGTCATACTGGAAAGGCTTAACTACTTTGGAAGGGAAGGACAGGTACAAAAACTTCAAAAAAATTCAGGACCAATATTCTTCACTATATTTACAGTCCATAAAAGTGGGCCAGGTCTCAGGCCCAAGAATCGGAGCTATCACCAAATCTCTTCCTAAAGGAACCCCCCGCCCAGTCACCAGGATGCAGGCAAAAGTCTCTTTACAACACCTGAGCCTTGACCTGTGCTGTCACTCCAAATCCAGAGCTTACTCATCAAAGGAGATTTTTCCATTCAACACTGGGCAGAAGAAACCTGCTTTCTGCACTCTTGAAGAGCACCTGACTCTGCATGCACTCACAGAGCATGACACCACATTTCATGTTCAAAGTTCAACAAGTAGTCTCATGAAAAGGTGGAACAGATATTTCAGATCTGTAGTTCACTGTGTGCAGCTAATTGTGTAAGGCTAGCTTAAGGAAAAATGAATAATAATGTGAAAAATGACAGGCAGAGAAAGACTTGAGCACCTTACTACTTTTTCTTATGGAAGATACATTCCTTAAGTAGCTTTTTCAGCAGAAACAAATGCATCATCCTTGAATCTCTCCCTTCCCTTTACACTCTCTAACTACACAGTACCTTACTTACTGATTGCTTCTCATTGTTTTTCCATTTGGCCCCATTAAAAAGTTTTCAATTGTTTCCTATTATGTGCTTCATCTTTCTTTATTAGGTGGGTGGAATGATTTGTTAGGATTATTGCATTTTCAAAAAACAAACCCAAGTCCGGTTAGCTAAACAGAATATAATTTTAGCAGGGTGCCTTCAGGTGCTTTTGTAATGTAAATAATTGAATGAACTAATTCAAGCAGCAGCAGTACTTGTTTTGAGAAGTCTATTTAAGCTATGAGCAAGACAATGGGCAGAGGGGAAATCAAGACAGACAAACAACAGGGCTGTTCAAGATCACGCCATCAGTTTTCAGTAAAGCTGAAACCAGAACCCAAATTAGATTCCATCCAATTCCCTACCTCGTACATACTCAGACATGAACAAACTCATTTATTTCGCTGCACATAATTCAACCACCTTCAGAAAACAAAGGTTCAGTCACTGAGCAATTTATCTCCATCCATTTAAAAACTACCAATATTCCCCTTCTCCCTCAAGATCCTTGTCAAAGACCATAAAAAGTCCAGCATGTACAAAAAAAGCAAATAATCTTCTAATGAGAGTTTATGTGTTTTTTCTCTTTTCATGTGCAAAGGGCTGTAAAAGAATAATCCTTCAGTATTTTTCCAGGGTACACTGTAACTTTTGCACAGCATGACAGACCTTTAACACCTCAGTATGCATTATGAATAATTAAAGCAGCTCATGACAGGGAAGAGCTACTCTGTGCTGACACAACCAGTTCACATCTCTACAGCAAAACTGCAGATTATGGGACCAAAGGAAACCACAGCCCCTGGGTATTCAACAGAGATGCATCCCATGGAAAGCATCTGAAAGTAGTTGTGCTACAAATATTTACCTTACCCTGGCTCAATCCATTCTGCAAATTAACCTACGGAAAATTGCAATTCGCTGCAGCCAAACCAGAAGAACTTTGGAAAACCACCTCGGTCTACAATCTACTTGGCTATGGAAAGAAAAACATTTACTTTTAAACTGAGCTAAGTGTGCACAGATTTTCTTTTACACTGAGTTCAGCTATCAGATTTCACCCTGAAGTGTCTGA